CACCGGGAGTCCCACCCGCGGGGCCGGGGCCAGACCGGGAGCGGGGAGCGGGGAGCGGGCAGGGCACGGAGCGGCGCACGGACACGCACGGCAGGAGCAGCCTCTTTACTGTCACCAGCGGGGCTCAGCCCTGCGGGGCTGCCCCTCCCCGGGCCCCGCGGGATGCCCGGACCCTCGCCGGAGCTGGCCGGGCGCGGTGGTCTCGGTCCCACGCTGCTCACCGCGGGCAGTGGTGGCTGGACACGGCCGGGGCCGTCCCCCCCGGGCCGGGCTCGGCGCTCAGGCGCTGCTGCAGCAGGTCCCAGGCCTTCTGCACCTGCCGCAGAACCGGGACGGTGCCTCAGGGCCCGCGGCTCGGGCAGGAGCGGCCGGCTTCCTCCCGGCCGAATTCACATCCCCGAATCCACCCCTCGTGGCAGCCTCGATGGCACCGTGACAGCTCCTGTCACAGCCACCCAGAGCGCCCCGGGCGCCGCAGCAGCCCCGGGCTCACCTGCTGGCGGGTGACGTGCGGCTCCCAGAGCGTGCAGAGCACCACCTGTGACTGCTGCACCCGCTGCCCGTTGGTCATCTGGCTCTGCAGCCGGTGCCGAGCGGCCTCCTCGGTCAGCCCGTCCCTGGCCACGATGCGCCTCACGGCCTGGCGGGGACACCGGGGACGCTCAGCTGCTTGGGGGGACACCGAGGACCAGCCCCGGCAGCAAGCGAGGGGCCCGGGGCGCTGCCCACCTCCTCCTCCGGGATGATGGCTGTCCACACCTCGTGGACCATGTCCTGCCAGCCGGCCTCCAGCAGCACGGCAGCGTCCAGCACACACACAGCCTTCCCTAGGGAACAAGGGGCGATCCTCAGTGGGCAGCCATGGATCACAGCAGCCTGGGCTCACTCCCACCTTCCTGACGCTTCACTGCTGAGATGAGGCTGCCACAGAGCCACCGCCCCTGTTACCTTGAGCATCAGCCTCCCTGACCCTTTCCTTCACCATCTGGGCTATTTCGGGCCACACAATGTCCGTCAGCCTCTTCAGCTGCTCCTAGAAAGGACCACAGCAGGATTTGAGATGCAGTGCCTCATCCTCAGAACCCCTGTGTAGCCAGCCAGGAAAGTAGGGTGTAAGCAGTCAGGGGACACCCAGGAAGGACCCACTGAAGCTGGGGAGGTGGGTCCAGCCCATCGCTGAGCACCAGGAAGGTGCTTTCATACTGGCCAGAGGTTCCCATTCCTGCTGCCAGGGTCAGGGTGCTTTTCCCTGTTATTTTCCTTGTCCTGCCATTAGGGCCCTGCTATTAGCAGAGATCTCAGTCTCTGCTGTGAGACGTGCTTTGCTCCACAGCACAGCAAGCTCCCTGTGCAGCAAGGCCCACAAACGACATGACCACCCAGGGAACCTCTTGATGTGCCTCCACCTTGGCTGGAGAAGCAGCAGAGCAGCAGGCTGAGCACCTGTAAAGGCCAGGTGCCACTGAGCCCCCTGGGTACAAGGGGCAGAGACCACTGGCTGTGTCTGTCAGGTCTGTTGCTCTGAGCTGGGTGAAGGAAAAGCACAGTGTAGAGGAGATGGGGATGGAACAGGGACAGGGATGGGAACAGGGAGGCAGCAGCAGCTGCAGGGAAACACCAATGTATCCAGCACAGCTGCTGATTCAGCTGCAGAGATGCAATCTGTCCCACCCTGTCCCCATGCCACTACCAGAAAATACAGCCAGGAAAGGGCTGAAAACTCAAAACCCCTGGCACAAGAGAACAGCCCCCACTCACAACATTAAGTATTTCCAATAAACCTGCTTTTTACCTGGTTTCCAAACACTTTGGCCCCGAGGGCTTTTCTGTTAATTGTTCCATCTTTGTTCAGGATCTCTGCAAGGCAGAAGCACAACAGGTTTGGGAGGGACAACTCCCATCCCTGTGGCAAGCCTGGGCTGGGGAAACAGCTTTGGCACAGGGCTCTCAACAGCACACACAAACACCTAACCTGGCAGCTCTTCACCCGATTCCTGAAAAGGACAGCGAAGAGCTTTTTCCAGGCAAACAACAGCCCGGTTCATCGTTCCCCACCAGCAGCTCTGACAGGGGACACACAACACTTGGGGAGCCCAAAACCCATGGAGGGGGAGGGGGGCACAGGCCAGGGCTCTCTGGGACACTGGGACGTCCCTCCCTCCCCTTCCTCCTCCCTGCAGCCTCCAGTGACTCTACCTGCCCCAAAGGCTGCCACCACTGGCTCGTAGGCCGGGCCACCAGGGACATAGACGGCGTGGCCCAGCTTGTCAGCGTCGATGATGAACGCACCCAGCTGCCCCAGGAGTTTGGCAATGGAAGTTTTCCCGCTCCCAGTTCCCCCAGTCAGCCCAATCACATACGGGCGCAACGGCAGAGCTGGGTCTCGCTAAGGGAAAGAGGAAAGCCGTGGCAACAGACGGAGAACTGGGCTTTGCTGGAGAAGGATCCTGACAGCCCAGCCTGGAGGTGACCATGAAAGGCTCTGAGCCTGCAGAGCAGCAGGCAGCCTTTCCAAACTCTTCGACTCCCGAGACTCCCACCCCTCCTCCCGGGCACTCCCATGGCTGCTGTGGCTCTGCAGGCCCCCCTCACCCGTGGGGGCTGCAGCAGTGTCCCCAGCAGCCTCTGCCGGAGGCTGGAGGAGCTGATCTTCTCCTCCTCGTTCTGACTGTGGTCGGGGTCTTTCATCAATTGGATTTCATACAGAGCCAGCTCGGGGAGCCCCTAATGAGAGAAGGGAGCCCCGAGAGCTGTCAGCCATGAGAGTGCAGCAGAGGGAAGGGGCAAATCAAGACCAAATTTGCCCCCAGGCAGTATCAGGCAGGGTGAGGAGGCGGGCGGGGGTAGCCCACCGGGCTCCAGCGTGGGAATTACGTTTTCAAGTCTCTTCCTGTTCACAGCCTCCCCTCCCCGGTGGGTCTCCTCACTGACCACCAGACACTGCAGGTCGGGGTCTGTGACTGCGGGGCCGAAGGGGTCGGCCAGAGGCACGATGTCGTAGCACAGTGAGGGCTTCACATCCTCCAAAAACTCACGCAGCTTCGCCGCCCGCAGCTCGTACGGCTCGATCAGCTCTGGCAGGACCTTGTCTGCCGGGTGCCAGGAGGGCGGAGAAGCACAAGAGTGACGGAAAAGCAAGACCAAGAGATGGGAGAAAACACTCGGCTGGGACTTTGAACACTGCCTCCCCCTTCCCTTGCCCTCGCTGCACCTTGCGGGTTGTGGGCAGGACAGCGGCGCCCCCCTGGATCCCCACTGACGCTCTGCCTGGATGGCACCGCCTTGGCTGGGTGGCTGCCAGGACTTCACTTGTTACAGGGCCCCCAGACCTCTGCCCTGCCCCGGGGAGCACCGGGCTCAGCCCTCGTCCCCGCGCAGTGCCACGGCCGCCCCGGACTCACGGCGGAGCAGCTCTGCGTCGGCCACCCCGGCCAGGAGCCGCCGCCGGGCCAGGAGGCAGCAGGCGCTGAGCAGGAGCCGGTGCGCGCCGTGCAGCCGATCGAAGGTGCCGCCGACCGCCACGTCCAAGAATTCGGGGAGCGCCGCGTCAGGATCCTGCTCGGGGTCCCCCTCGGGGTCTCCCCCGGTGTCCCCCGCGGCGTCCTCGCCCAGCAGCAGCGCGGGCAGGCTCGGCGGGCAGCCGTACACCGCCGCGGCCAGGCGCTGCAGCCCGAGCTGCACCGGCTCCGGCGGCCCCGGCGCCTCGGCGGCGGCCGCCAGCAGGACGCGGGGCTGCCGCGCCAGGCGGCGGCCGGGGCCGAGCAGGACGCGCAGGTCCAGCCCCCGCCGCGCCGCCGCCGCCGCGTACAGCGCGGCCAGAGCCCGCAGCAGCGCGGGGCCCGCGGGCGGCGCGGCGGGGCCGGCGGCGGGGCCGCCCAGCCGCAGCCCCGGCTGCAGATGCACGTACAGCGGCCCCGCCACCAGCCCCGCCGCCGCCGCCACCAGCCCCGCCGCCCGCCGGGGCAGCGCGGGCAGCGGCGCCGTCAGCACCAGCAGCCCCGAGGCGAAGGGCGGCATCGCCCCGCCGGAAGCGCCGCCGACCGGAACGGGGCCGGGAACGGCACCGGAACAGCTCCGCCTCCCGGGCAGCCCCGCCCGGCTCCGCCCGCCGGGGGAGGGGACCGGCCGGCCCGGCCGCAGTGCGGAACGAGCCCGGGGGCTCCGCGGGGCCGCGGCGTGACGGGACGGAGCCGGAG